TTCTGTTATCTGTCTTGAAGAATTGTTACATACCAAATTCGTAAAACTGAAACACACACACACACACACACACACACACACACACACGAACCCAGGGCCTCATGTATGCTAGCCAAGGGCTCTACTATGGAGCTTTATCTCACTCTGTATATCTCTCTGTCTGTCTGCCTGTCTGTCTGTCTGTCTATCTATCATCTATCATCTATCTGTCTATTATCTATCAATCTGTCATCTATCTACGTACCTATTATCTCTCTATCATCTATCTGTCTATCGTCTGTCTGTCTATCTATCTATCTGTCTATCTATCATCTATCATCAGTCATCTGTCTATCCAGTCTAACTAAGTGTAAGTATCACTGGCTAGCCTGGAACTTGTGATGTAGGCCAGGCTGGCTTTGAACTTTCGCTGATGGAAAGATGTAAAAATTCCTCTCCCTTCTTCATGCTGGGATTATAGGCACGTATATATCTATCATCTATCTATCTATCTATCTATCTATCTATCTATCTATCTATCTATCATCTATCATCAGTCATCTGTCTATCCAGTCTAACTAAGTATAAGTATCACTGGCTAGCCTGGAACTTGTGATGTAGGCCAGGCTGGCTTGGAACTTGCGCTGATGTAAAGATGTAAAACTTCCTCTCCTTTCTGCATGCTGGGATTATAGGCATGTACCACCATGCCTGGCTCTTAAAATTCTTTTGAAAGAAAATAAAAATTATTAGTACAGGAATGCTTAGCTTTCAGTTTTTATTTTGTTCCATAGTGTTTAAAGGAATGGTTCCTGGATTTTATTTAATTTTAGATTTTATTTGGTAAGAACCTGTAGGGTATCATCATTAAACCAGATTCTTAGATTTGGATTCTTTTTTTTCAATGAAAGTGTTATAAGGGAAGTGGTATAGTTTCATGACATTAGGACTTTCCTGGATATGTGCTATGGTTGTATATGAAATTCATTCAAATTCGAAGAAGTAACCAGAGCCTCAGGGCACCTTAGCAGCATCATTGTTATCCTATTGATGGTAAGGCATTGACGATTAATGGAATCGTTAGTGAATATTCTGGAGTCAGGCTGCCTGGACTCCAGTCCCACCTTCACCACTTACCAGTGCAACTTTGAGGGAGGGAGCTAACCTCTGTACTTCTCATCTATAAAACATAGTTAATAATAACGGGTAGTAATAATACCCATCCTGTGGTTGATTGTGAGGACTGTCTGACTAATCCCAGTGAAAGTACTTAGACGGGCATGTGGGGTAATGGAGCTGCTATACTGCTATTATTTCATGTGATTATCGATGTTTCTGCTGCAAAATCTATAATTTATGTAGAGTAAATGCGAGAGAGACTGGTTAAGAGAAACTGCATTCAGTAGTGTGATCCCCCCTCATGCTGTGATGATAGGAAGACAGCAGTGTCATCGATGTTGGGTATTAACACCGTGTATTTATTCTGAAAATGCTGCTCTTATCCTCACAGCCAATCCCCAGCCCCAGGCGTGCCTTACCATTTCTTTACTGTTGTATGAGGAGAAAGGTGTATGTTTCAGTTGGTCAGGAGGAACAGGAGAAGTGACAGAATCAAATGGGGAAGAAAAAGATTGGAGAGTCAGACAATCAGGATGGTTTCGAGTCACAGGCTCACTCAGGGTCTTTGCATATTTACAAAGGTTGATACTTGCATAACTTAAATGGAGTCCACAGACACGGACTGCCCTTGAAGGACAGAGCTGTATGGCTACTGGGGGCTGAAACCCCAGTGTGCTCAGCATCCTCCCACCTGTCACAGGCTCTCCAGCTTGCCGCTCATCCCCAGCAGAGCCCCAGTCAAGCTCCAGACACATTGCACGTAGACATCCATAGAGCTAAGCACTGTACATTCTTTGTTTTGGTTTTAAAAATTTTTTTGTTAGCATATATTCATTGCACAGTGATGGGTTTTGTAATGCCATTTTCATTCAAGTGTACCCTACTTTGACCATATTCACCCCACTTTTGTGGCCCTCTCCTACTACCCCACCCTCTCTTCTCCGATTGTACCCTTTTGCTTTCATATACAATGTAGATTCTACACAAAATATGCAATATTTGACTTTAAAGTTAAGCTTATTTTGCTTCAAATGATGACCTCCCATCCTCTCCATTTCCCTGTGGATCACACAGTTCTGTTCTTTACAGTTGACTCGAACCGCATTGTATAGATATAACACATTTTCTTTACCCATTCGTCTGTTGATGGGCTCCTGGGCTGATTCTGTATCTTGGCTATTGCAAATAGTACAGCAGTAAATGTGGATAGGTGCGTTTCTCTGTGATGTGCTGACTTTGGTTCTTTTGGGCATATTCACAGGAGCCGTGCAGCTGTGTCATATGGAAGATCTATTTTTAGTTTTGTGACGGACTTCCATACTGATTTTTGTAGTGGGTGTGCCTGTTTCTGTGCCCCTCAGCAGTGGATCAGCACCCCCACACTTCTATCCCATGCATCCTAGTCAGCTTTTGCTGTGGTCTGTTATTTCAATAATACCTATTCTGACTGGGGTGAGGTGAAATCTCAATATAAATTTGATTTTGCATTTCCGTAGTGGCTAAGAATGTTGAACATTTTTCATGTTTTTATTGACAATTTGTTCGTTATATTTGCTTACCTATTAGATTGCTTTGTCATTTACTAGATTTCTTTGCATCTCCTAGGTGTGAATCTTCTGTCAGATGTTTACTCGGAAAAGTTACTTTCCCATTCTGCAGGCTGTCTCTTCACGTGGTTAATTCTTTCCTTTTCTGCATAGCAGCTTTCTAATGTTATGTACTGCTGCTTGTCAATTGTTGCAATTATTTCCTGAGTCATTGGAGTCCTTTTCAGAAATCCTCAGACTTTCAAGCCAAACATTCAGGTCTCTGATCCATCTGGAGTTCATTTCTGCACAGAATGAGGGAGAGGGATCAAGTTTCATTCTCTACACACGGATGTCCATGCCTCCTACGTGTTGAAGACACTCTCATTTCTCCAATATATGTGTTGTTCTTGTTTGTTTGTTTTCTGATACAGGGTCTCACTATGTAGCTGTGGTTGGCCTGGAACTCTATAGACCAGGCTGGCCTTGAACTCACAGAGATCAGCCTGCCTCTGCCTCCCGAGTGCTGGGATTAAAGGCGTGCACACACAGCTCAATGTATGTTTTTGACACCTTTGTCAAAAATTAGGTGGCTGTAGGTATGTGGATTTGTTTCCAGACTCTCTGTTCTAGCCCATTGATCTATCCATCTAGTTTGAGCCAATACTTTTTTTTTTTTTTTTTTACTATGCTGCGAGGTAAAACTTGAAATCAGGTGTAGCGATACCCATGATGCTGCGCTTTTTGCTCTGGCTTGTCTTGGCTCTTCAGGGTTTCCTGCATTTCTGTATGAATGAAAATCTTTGTTGTTTCTTTTCTTTTGGTGAGGAATGCGAGTTCCTGGGGTTTTATGGTGGTTGTGGTGAGTCTGCTGAGTTTCCAGCAGCACAGCCGTTTTCACAATGTTAGCTCTTCCAAGCCCTGGGCATGAAAATTTTTTTTTATCTTTGATGTCTTCCTCAGTCTTTCCTTCGTGTTTTAAAGTTCTCACTATGGAGCCCTTTCATCCCTGTAGAGGTTTATTCTTAGGTAGCCTTAGGCACTTGGCGTCCTATCACCATTTGTCTTGCTCTCCAACCTCTTCTGTCCCCAAATGGCTTCCAGTCAAGTCAACGAGACATCACATTTCACTTTTATCGAGCATTAAGCATTATGCGTTGCTGTTAATTTATTCTCTCCCCCTTTCTTAGAAAAAGATGCAGGGACAGATTGTATTATCTGTTGCCCTAAAAAATGCTACATTGCCAAGGATGCACCAGCATTAACAACGTGTAGAACGAAAGGCAACCACCAGCGGCGAGTACAGTTTCCAACCAGAGCCAACCAGAACGGGCAGTGTGTGACTAATCAGACAGGGAAACATGGAGGATGTGTTTTCTTTTTTTAGTAATGAAGAGTTTTGGAATCATTAGCACATTTGTGTCCATGTAGTTGAGGAAGCTTAGGCATAGGAGAATTTCAGAGACATCCCTGCATACACCCACTGATTGACACTCTTCCTAAACTCCCCAGTTTCCTCCCCACATCCCATGTCATTCTACTACGTAACCCTGACTAGCTAGCATGCTGGATTTGGGGACACCTTTAATATTTTCAGAAGCACTAACTGTAGAATTGGAATCATTCTCTTAGGAGTCTTTATACTCCCTAGGTTTCAAGATTTAGTCTTACCAACAGTATCAGGATGGTATATGCAGTCATTAACACCTCAGAGTCCAGAGTCCCTGGACACAACAAAGTCTCACTTTGTCATTTACTAGCTTCTCCTTATTATTATTTTTAGGCAGGGTCTGGCGATGAAGCCTAGGCTGGCCTTGAACTTGCAGTCTTCCCACTTCAGCCTTCTAACTGTTGGGATTATAGGTGATCTCCACCATACCCCATCTTAGGTCCTCTAACATCTTTATGTGTGGAATGGCATTGGGATAAGAAATAAATGAAGTTATGTGTGAAATTCTGCTCTACAGGAAGCTTTATAAAGTATTAGCGAGTGCACACTTGCCATTTTGTACATATGAGAAACTTAGGTACTTTTCAAAGCCTTGGTGGGTAGTTGCCCTTACCCAGACATTCCATGACCCTTTGTCTGCAACTACAGATAGCACCAAGGTAGATAAACGTGTTTTTCCTATACATATGTGCATACGTACAATAATTTATAGTTAGGCACACTGAGATTATAAGATAAAACAGAACAACTATGGCCAAAGTTATGAATCACTTCAGGAAATTTGTATTTAGTATATTCAGGTAACCAAAGATGCAGAAAGTTAGCGTACAGATGGGGGAAGCAACACATAGACACAGTTCAGTTGTCATTTCGTAGCGCCGTTCATTTGCACAAGGCCGTGATAAACCTCTGCCTTTTCTCTACAGGTGAAATCCAGAGAGTCAGTCCATTATTTGTTGAGATCAAGATATTGATTTGGATGTTTTGAGACCTTCAGATACAGACTTGTCATCAATGTTATAAACTGAAGGTAAAAGTTTATTCTTTTTCTTTAAAGGTAAACTAGTTTCTGAAGTATGAAAATTAAAAATATTAGCATGTTTTGAAATTAAAAACCAATCAAATAGATTTTTTTTGGGTGTGTGTACACACTGCTGGAGCGCAGACCTGGGGCTGTATGCATGTTAAGCCGGTGACCTACAGCTGAGTTGCACACTCAGCCCAGATTTCTGGATGCTTAATGTTGATAAAAATAATTATGAAACATTTTTTTAAAAAGGGAGAAATATACTTTGCAGCGAATGTGGAGAACCATTTGCTTTCCTTTAATATTATGGAAATCTTCATAAGTATCTTTAAATTCACTTCTAATATTTACAGGGCCCAGTCGACAAAATAATGTCAAGAAGTAAGAGGAAAGCAAATTGAAGCCCCCACTGCCTGGGGCTGTGCATGAACCGAACAGGGAAGCCTTGGAAGAGATGCAAACATTGCTTTAGAAGGAAACAGGAAGTCTGGATTTGCTCACACTCTAAGAATTCAAGGATCCCAGGGACTGGACTGGGAAAACATCTCTTCTAAGACACCCCCTTTCATTTTGTGCCCAAGTAAATTGTTCTCTAGTGTTTAACATGGAAAATATTTTGAAAAGAGTGGGTGTGAGAAATTTCTAACAAGTGGTTAAAAATAAGTATACGCTCTCCTGTTCTCCTTTTCTTCTCAAGGGCTGTTCATCCACCATTCAGCCGAGGCTGTCTGTCTTGCCGCAGCTCAGCCAGTCAGAGCAGAAGCCCGTAGATGTCCCCTCTCTCACCCTCCCTGTCTGCTGAGTAGCTGAGTGGACGTACACCCCATGGTTTTGTCACTCGTGGAACACGAGCTACATCTCCGGTCCTCTCTTCCAATGCTCTGGTACCCCCACTTCTTCCCTGTTTGCCTCTCTTAAAAATTATCCTATTTATTTATATGTATGTGTGCTGAGCGGGGGAGCATGTGTGTGCCTCTGTGTGCAGGTGGGTGTCAGGCTGACATGAAGGAGTCTCTCCTTTCCTTCTGCCTTGTTGGTACTGGGATCAAACTCTAGTCCTCACACTTGGTGCTAACTGCCTTTGTCCTCTGAGCCATCTTGTCATCCCGCCCTTCTCTTTGTCATCCACCAGCCATGACACTGTTCCTCCTGCCTTTACTGTTTTTTATCTACTAAGCCTTCCTTCCTTTTATGATTTTGCTTATAAGAGATAATTCATATGCCTTCCAATTCATCTAGATTGAACCCAGGACCTTAATTCTGCTAAACAAATGCTCTGCTACTAAGATAGCCTCTCAGCCTCCTTTACCATTCTTTAAATTTACTTTATGAGTATTTTCTCAGCATGAATGCAAGCGCATCCAAGTGTGCAATCCCCACAACATCCCCGCAGAAGAAGGCATTGGATCCCCCGGACCTGGAGTTACAGACTGTTGTTAGCTTCCATTTGGGTGCTGGGAATTGAACCCAGATCCTCTGCAAAGAACAGTGCTCTGAACCACTGAGCTATCTCATCTGTCCAGCCCAAGTTGGCCTCACTTTTTAACTGTTTTATTTATTTGCTTATTTATTTTATTTTATTTTTGGTCATTTTTAGACAGGGTCTCCCTGTAGCCCCAGCTGGCCAGGAACTCGCTATGTAGACCAGGCTGGCCTTGAACTCACAGAGATCCGCCTGCCTCTGCCTCCTGAGTGTTGGGATTAAAGTTGTGCACCACCACATTCCGCACTTTTTAACTGTTTTAAATATGCTGCTGTAAACATTCTTACACAAATTTTGTGTAGATCTAATGTTCAGCTGTCTTGGATGCATACCGAGGAGTGAAACTGTTCTGTGATAATTCTATGGTAGGTATTTTGAGGAGCTGCCAAACTATTTTGTTTTTGTATTTTTTATTGCAGGCTCCTTTGTGTGCAGGTACACTTGTGTGGATATGTGTGCATCTGTGCATGTGTTTGGGTCCTCATGCTTGCAAGACTTGAGCTTTGCTGCCTGACCTGTCTCCTCAGCCGTGTTAAAACATTTCCCTAAGCTCTTACTAACCCTTTTATATTCCCACCAGCGATGCGTAAGGACCCAACTTTTTCTGTGACCTCTCAACACATGCTGTTGCCTGCCTTGGTTGTCACAGCTACCCTGACGGACGCTGGCCAGGTGTTCCTCACTTCATCCCTTTGAGCTCATTTCCTCTGGGAAGTTCTGCTGAGAACCTGGACTTCCTCTCTTTCCAGGTCTTACTAAACCCTCTCCTCTATATTTCCCTAACACCCCATGCTTATTTATCTCTGAGATGTCCCTCACAACACTGAATTATAATTGTCTGTTAACTTTATCTCCTATATCAGAGTGTGAACCTGTTGGAGAGGGTACTAAAATATACTAAAATATTTCCTGTGGCATCTCCTACGTTAGCACAATGCCTGACACAGTTATTTTGGGCTCATTTTTTTTTTTTTTTCCTTTAGATGTTGGGTGAGCTTGTGGGACCAGCCGCCACAGACTTCATAGCACTTTTACCTGAGCTTAAGAATGAGCCTGTTCTTGGGGCTGGAGAGATGGCTCAGTGATTAAGAGTACTAGCTGCTCTTGCAGAGGACCCGGGTTCAATTTTCCAGCACCCACATGGTGGCTAAGCACTTGCCCAGTTCCAGGGGGATCGGATGCCTTCTTTGGACCTCTGAAGGCATTGCACAACAGGGGTGTACCTACCTACATGCAGACAGTACACTCACACACGTATAAATAAAATGTTTTTTTTTTTTTTTGAAGAATGAGACTGTTCTTTAGATCAGTTTTTTTTTTAGCTAATATCTTCTTGTTAGGGAAAGGACACAGAATTTTTAGCATGTATGTTTGAGTTTCTAGAAAATTGTATTTTCTTTACTGTTATGCTAAAAGAGTATTATCTCTAACTTGCAGAAGTTGGGGGGAAAAATGCCTGGGTGGCTTTAAAAACAGAAACCCAGTAACCATCATTAATTTGTTTAATTTTTATTGGTGGGCATTTGTTGTACAAAGTGGTGGATTTCATAATGACATTTTACCCAGCTTACTTACCTTCTCTTCCTCCCCAGCCTTAGGCCTTCCTTTCCCTTCCCCAAGGAAGTTACCCTTCTAATTCCATGTCACATTCTGTGTGTGTGTGTGTGTGTGTGCATGTATGTGTGTGTTCCATGTGACAGAAATTTCTGGGTGTGGCTTAGTGTCTTTCCTGTGATCTATTCCACCGTTTCCCTGCAGACGACCTTTCTTTGTGTCTGAATTAAGCTCCGTTGTGTATATCAGCTGCACACTCGTCGAGCGCTCATCCGATGATAGACACTCAGGTCATCCTTATTTGACTCTTAAAAGCAAAGCTAATTAAGAACTCCATGTTCCTTTTCAAAAATAATACACTAGTTATACAAACTAGACTACCAAATTCCCAAAAGTGGAGAGAAGAGGCAGGCAGATCTCTGTGAGTTCAAGGCCAGCCTGGTCTACACAGTGAGTTCCAGGCCAGCTGGGGCCACAGGGAGACCCTGTCTCAAATAAAATAAAATAAAAATAAAATAAAATAAAATAAACCAAATGTGGAGAGAAGTCAGGTCAGTGTCTATGGACTTGAAAAATAATGCTGGGTGTTGCTGGGAACAGAAAACTGAGATTCGTTAGCATCAGAGTTGAACAGATAGGGATTGGTAACCACAGAGCAAAGCTGGAAACTGAATTAACATAATTAAAGACTTAAAATATAAGCTTGAATTAAAAGTACCTCCAACTTCAAAGTTGACTCGTGTAAATTATAATGTCTTGTATATAAGGACAGATTAAAGGACATGTTTAAATTAGTTCTTTTGAGTGATTCTTCAAATATATTTGAATTTGCAATCAATATTTGGATAATTCTGCTTTCTGTTATTTATGAGCCTGTAAGGATTCATCTTAGTGTTGTAGATGTTTCCTGGTTGGATTGGACCAGATAGCTGTTCCCTTATTTGACAATGTTTTCAGGGTGTTCTTGAAGCTCCTCCAGTCTCTTTGCCCTGATTTTTTACATGCTCCTGGAACAGAAAGGAAGTAGGGGAGTGAAGATGGCAAGAACAGATGGACTCAGATCAGGGAGATAGTGTCAGGCAGGGTCAAGATGAACTTGACAGATACCCCTCTTGTGCTTAGCACTTGAGCAGGCCTGTACTGCTGCTTGGGATACAACTTGCATTTCTTTCATTCTTTTAAAACTTTTCTTCATCTCTAGTAACAAACTTTAAATAGGAGTCAGGAATGAATACAGAAAAGAAAAATTTAATGTGCAAATGTACTTAGAATGGCTATGTACCTTTGAGGTTTGATTGGTAAAGGATGCCTGTTAAGACAGAGTGAGGCGTGTCTGGTCATATCATGTTTAGATGTGTGACTGTAAATTTTATCTGTACTTCAAAGTTGTGTTACTACAGCAAATTGGTCTGTAAGAGTATTTTCTTTGTATATAAAATAGATATATTATTTTTCCCTGTGTAGTGTTTTGATATAACTAAGTTTAATAGTCTGTGGCATTCAACAAATGGAAGTTGTTTAAAAACTGTCCTTTTTCCTTGAAAAAAAAAGTTCAATAATCCCATGATAAATATGTGAGTTTTGTTTTGAAATTTTCTTTTAGTGTCAGTTAGGTATTTTATTCTATTGATGTTAAGTTTGGTATGACCAATAGTTTTATATTTTGTATATTAATATGGTAGAAAAAATAGCAATTTTGCATACATTAACTTTAATGTAGAAGAGACAGTGTGCTAACCTGTGCTATTTCATACTTAACAGAAGTCTATTAAAATTGAGTGCAAATGCCAGGGATTCACTATTATTTTATTTCTTCTTGTGTTTTGGTCATGCAGGTAACTGAGAATTAGTCTTTAAAGTGCATGTGTGTGCATGCATGTGCCCTACCTCCCTCCGTCTCTCTCTCTCTCCCTCCCTCTCTCCCTCTCTCCTTCCCTCTCTCCCTCTCTCTCTCCCTCCCTCTCTCTCCCTCCCTCCCAGGCCCCCTCGGAGTATCTTTTAGTTTTTTTTTTAAAGATAGGTTTCACCAAGTAGCCCAGGCTAGCCTGGAGCTTGCTGTGTAGAGCGGGCTGACTTCAGACTTACAGCAGTCCTGACTCTGCCACCCAAGTGTTCCGGTTATAGGCGTGTAGTGTTTTTAAATGGAGGAACTAGTTTTCTTTGCCTGTTTTCACTTGAGTCCACCTTTTGAGAGTCAGTATGCTTCCTGAAAAGACAGTGCGAAGTCAGAATGCCTTGGGCTGGATGGTGGCTCCTTTGTTTATTCCTGAGAACCTCAAGGACATCTCCCAGTATCAGCATCTGTGATGGTCCTTTCTTCATCTGTGGAAGGAATGCTATGTGAGGAGCCATATGGATTAGGGAGTGTACATTGAAAAGAGCCTCATCAGTAACTGATTGTTTAAGCTGTTTTCTGTGTGTTTTCACCAAAACTTATGTGATCCCCTCTCATTCAGTAACTGGAGACTGTGTCCAAACAGTGTCACGGTTCCCCTGTGCCCTTCTCGTCTCCTTTTAAAAATTTATTTTTATTTTATATGTATGAGTGTTTTACCTACATGTATGTAAATGCACACATGCATGCAGTGCCTGCAGAGGCCCACAGAGGCCATTGGGTCCCCCTGGAACTGGAGTTAATACATGTTTGTAGCTGCCCTGTGGGTGCTGAGAACTGAACCCTGGTCGCTGAGAACTGAACGGCCCACAGAGGCCATTGGGTCCCCCTGGAACTGGAGTTAATACATGTTTGTTGGCTGCCCTGTGGGTGCTGAGAACTGAACCCTGGTCCCTCTGCAACAGCAGTCAGTGTTCTTAGCCACTGAGCCATCCCTCCGGCCCCAGCCCTTCTCTACTGAATGTGCCCTTCCCTGATTTTCCGCCCTCTTCCTGCCTGATCGATACAATGACTGAACCCTGGTCGCTGAGAACTGAACCCTGGTCGCTGAGAACTGAACCCTGGTCGCTGAGA